TTCAAGTACAGGGCCTGCATTTTCTGTTTGACCCATCAGTGGACGCTGACTGAATTACTCTCTCAGAAGTTTGAGCAATTCCCGCCCAGTACTGATAACACTTATAAACACATATACAGATATCCCTGACTTCATATGCAAAAAGAAATAGATGTGTAAAAAAAAACAAAAACAAAAAAAAAAACAAAACCTTAATACAAATAATACAAATTAAAAATTAAACAACATTTTAACTAATTCTGAAATGATTTGCAGTATAAATAAATTGATTGTAAGGTATAAAATTCAGCCCATATTACTGATGTTTTTTTCTGGCATGTAAAAAAACTCCTTAATACATTCAGAGGCCTTATATCGGCAATGTTGGATTTCTACAGCAAACTACATTCCTGGTCATATCTGAACTTGTTCTGAGCAGGGAATTAAAACAGGATTTATTTGGTCACTGCCAATTAGAGGAACCACAGAAAAGCCCTCATTCTGCTGCTAAGGGCACCAGAGATGGCCATGCTCATTTCATGGCTTTATCACTGCAGTTTGGTGATAACTAGCAGAACTTTGGGTTCTTACAGTTGTGTTCCAGGACCGTTTGTGGGAGACAAAAAAGTCAATCGGGTCAATCAGACCAATCAGGTTTAACAGTTGGAACTGTACTGATGTTCAGAACTACAAGGGGGGTGACAATAGAGAAGAGGGGGGATAACAGTGCTTAATTGGATGTAACGGATTGTTCATTGTTTCCACGTCGGTGTGGGTTTGTGTGTATGTCTATGAGCCAGTCTAGTCAGTCGTGATGCACATATCTGGATATTGGATGAAAAGTCCTCAACGTGATCAGAGGTGATTGCAGCTGTGCTCCTGAAACAAGAAAAGACCACCATGGGAAAAAATGGACGGATGAATTCTGGAAGGAAAGAATGCCCAAGCGAGCTCACGATGAGTCATTTTTCTTCCCACTGGAACAGAGACAAAGACAGGAGGACAGTTAGGTTAAGAAAAGGCTGACGAATCACAATTTTGTACTGTGGAAGCAACCGTGCTGCAATTCCTCATGACTCATTGTTCCCTACTGGACATTAGCAATTGGACACCACCCCCTAGTGGACACTGATGAAAGTATTTTACATGAAGAGAGTAAACAGATGTTCTCGCTCTGGAAAAGAATAGCAAGGAAAAGATCTCTGAATTTGAGACTCAAGCATTACATGACCACTAATCTTTAGCAAAGATTATATAGTTTAAAGCTTAAATGACCTCATAACTCACCCTTAATTTATTCAGTTAGGCCCCTGTCTCCCACGTATTCTTCCTATTCATTTTGAACATTTATCCATAATGAAATGACTGTGTTTTAGGTAGCCCGTTGCTTCACAAAATATTAATGTACAAGTACCTATGAAATGGTTCAGCTGTTTGTAGCACAGTTTAATATAAGAAGTTTAAATATAAGAAATGAGGGGCTCCAGAATGGTATAGTCATGTAGGTGTTGGTCCCACTGTCAGGAGCTCGCATGCTCTTGATGATTCCTGTGATGCCACAGCCATCTCAGCCCAAGAGAGTACAACGCTGTTGTCGGAACAAAACCTCCATTTTTGTCATTTTTCAGTTTTTGACATAACTTGAAAGTACCTGTTACCCTTTACACTGAGTGTCAGTTTAATGATGAATGGACCAGAAGAAATGGTCCAAAATTACTTGGAAAAAAATTCTGGTTCTCCTTACATTAAAAGTAAAGTAGGTAAAGTTACCATTTTGGAGATACAAGGTTTTGTTCTGACAGAAGCGATAAGTAGCCTCTTCCCACATTTTATTTTTTTTTTCCCAATATGTTACATTTAGTAAATAAACAGTAATAGCGCATTAAAATGTGCAAACGTGTGTTCTCTGTAGAGGATGTGTTAATTTATTTTCATTTAGAAAATCAACATAACCTGTCGTCTGAACTTTTGCATACGACTGTGTTAGAGTATTCTGCCAGTTTTACACTACACTGCCAAAAAAAAATCTTTTTAATTTAGCATTTTAAATTTAAAAATAAGTAACTGCTAATTTGAAATTTTGAGTTCAGAAGAATAATTTGTGTTTTACAGGTTAACTTAATATTACAAGATCAATAAACTCAGTTAATCACACTGTAAAAAATGATGCCACTTTTAAACTTAAAAAAGTAATGGAGTTAACTTTAAATTGAGCACTGAGCTTGCAATATCAAGTTAATGGAAGAATCAATTGTGTTTTACGTTTGTTAACTTATCATTTAAAGTTCAATGAACTCAACATTTTAAGTTAACTTGGTCACAAGTGGTTTAAAAGCTGCATATTTTTTTACAATGTATTCTGGCAGTTGGCATACATATATATATATATATATATATATATATATATATATATATACATGTGGTGTATGTACATTACCTTTCAAATGCTTAGAATCAACAAAAGCAACAACATCCATGTATATTTGAGTACATTTAAATATAAAATATAAATCAATTTGGATGCAGATAAATGTATAAAATGATTCTAATACTTTTGTCCTGTGCAACCTCACAGGTTTCAAATATTGGTAGGGAGCTTAAATAAACAAATAATAAATTAATAAATAAATAGAAAATCAGATCATTACAGTATATTATTTATTATTTTTTTGTTTAAAAGTCAATACTTGACTTATTAAATAAAACAATTTTGGTGTTTGCAATTGATCAGTATCTGCATATTTAAGATCACATTTTGGAACATAGAAAGACAGACGTTATGTGAAATAAGTAGGTGCTATAAGGCCGTTTAGAGTTTAAAAAACTAGTAAGAGAACTTTAAAATACATCCTACAAGATATAGGCAGCCAGTGCAGTTCAGCAGATTTACAAATAATAAGTAAAGCAGCGATGCGTTTAAGGGTTAATGTAAATGTCCTGCTCTCAGTTACTTTCCCAAGACTCGGGGGTCTTTGTGCACACAGACCTTTTTGTATCCTTTATAAACACTTTCCTCCATCTTAGTCGAGCCACTGGCACCGGCGGCAACGTTCAGCCACCACTTTCCAACTAAGCCGCTGGCGCTTCCAGACACGTCACATGCTGCTGAAACGTAATTAGCGGTGTTCTTTTAGCACTGCGCAATTAATCTTCACGCAGTTTAAGAGAAAACTTCAGTCCCACTGAAGCTGCCCGATCAGCCACTGCTAAAGCAGGACACTGAGGTAAACAGACTTTTTTAACTCAAATAAAGGTCTGTTTCATAAGATGTTACACCAAATCTGATCGAACACAGGCGCTCTTTTTATTTGCTGCTAGGGGGACAAATCTGGCATAAAGGGAAGTGCAGCTGGAGGGGCTTGTTAGCTTGTTTTTCTCAGGTCAAATCGAATTTGAAGGAAGAGAGTTTGGTAACATCCTGATGTGTCAGTCTGGGAAAAGGGAGAGAGGGACTATCCCATCCAAAAATACTGCAGAGAGGGGCCAGGGGTGGCTCCACATGAGGTAGGGGTGACATACAGCTTCTGAAAGTCCTAAATCAAGAAGAGCTGCCGTGACACTCGCATATCAATCTGTAGTGTCGAGCTGCAACAGTGATAAATACGTCTTAGCTTAACGAGCCAGCTAAAAATGGTGGAGGTCAATATTTCCCAAACCAAGTGGAGCAATTTTCCTGTTCTGACACCTGATTCCATCCATCAGTGTTCAAGAACTGGAACAGTGGTCACCAGCCGTGCTCCCGGAGAACCTTTTTGCAGACTAGAGCTGCAACTAGGGCTGCAATGATTAGTCAACCAAGTTTAATCGTTGATTATAAAAACTGTCGGTTTGATTTTTTCCACGTTCACTTGTACATGACAGTTTTCCAGCTTTCTTTATCCCTTACAACTAAACAGGCTATTTTTGTTACTACATCTTTAAGGTTGATATATGTAAATGAGCTATGTCCTGATTGGCTGTCCTGTATTGTACCTTATTCAAAGAACAGCTCGGGCTGAAACACTGCTTATAACTTCAACATGAATAGGTACACATCACAAAAACAATTTAAAACAGGCTAATTTTGTAGCCCAGTTTCTATTTGTATGGATTGTATGGGGAATGAATGCTGTGTTTTGAAAACTGAATTATGTTTATATACTACTTCAATCTCTTTTATTTTGAAAAAGTGAGGAAAATGTAGTTTTCTGTGAAATGGACACTTCAACACATTTTTCACAGTAACTATTAAATCCAATTTCAGTTGGTTTTGGAGCTCACTCAGTTCAGCCCTGAATTTTAATATTGAAATATATTGATACATTGAAATGATTGATCGCTATCGGGATAAATTATGCCAGACTACGTTACAATATGCTTTTCTCAGCACAATGTGAACAGCATCAGTACCTTAAAACAAAGACAAACTGCATGTTTAATCTCAAAGACAGTCTAATCAGATTGAGCTGGATTTAGTTCAGTGTACTATGCAGAACACTGAATGGCAATCATATTCATAGTTTTTGTATTTTTTAAATGACACCACAGAAAAACTAAATCACGTGACAATATCTTAAATTATCATGACATTAAATAAAACATATTGCCCAACCTGAACAATCAGGTTTAGTGGGTCTGTTAGAGCAGGGAAATCACCAAACTGTGGTGGGTTTCAGCTGTCCAGGGCCAGAAGTGATGACTAGACCTACAAATGGAGTCGGGGTACATAAATACACTGACTAGATGCGTTATTAGCTTTGTGGCTCCACCGTGCTGCTGTACAGATAGATTCAGTTGATCCACAATTTGTGAATTCTCTAGCTCTGCATCAATGCTCAGTTACTGACCAAAGAGCCGCTCTTGGCTAGATATTTTTGGATGGTGGACCTCTCTCATTCTAACAGTGACAGTGGCGTGTGTCATGTAGCGTAGGTTCCCCTAATGTTTTGTACAGTCAGTCTTAATTTGATTGGAAGAAGAGTTTAGATGAGCTTTTGTGAGATATGTAAAGGGTGGACTGGACTGTACCTTCTCTTTGTCCTTCACTTGCTGCTGTTGCTGCTGTTGCTGCTGCTGTGGTGGTAGTGCTGAGCTTGTTGGTAGTGGTGCTGACGGCGCGGGCTGGACGCGACCTGGGCTCCTCCTCTAATGCTGTGGCCCGGCGAGCCGGTGGCAGCTGAGTGATGATGTCCAGCGCGAATGGGCTTGGCTAAAGGAAGCAGTGGGAAGGTGGATGATTAAGCAGTTCTGTGAGATTTCCACTTACATTGCTGGCAAAAAGTTTAGGACAATTTTGCCTTTTCGCTTTTACTTTCTCATACGGGGCCATGCTGGTGACATCCTGTATAAATAAAAATAACACGTAGGAACAAGGTCCTAATGTGTGGCCATGACTTAGTAAGGCATGGGGACGAGATAATGCCTTATTAAGCTCTGGCCAAGGCTTAAATATCTCATCCCCCCGCCTTACTTAGTTGTGGCCACGCATTAAGATCTCGTTCCCACACCTTACTAAGTTGTGGCCACTCCTTATTATTATTTATACGGTATGTCGCCAGCAGGGCTCTGTATTCTTACAAATAAGTAAGAAAAAATACCTGCAAATCTGTTTTCTTTCCCAGTTTTTTGTTTTATTCTTAAATGCACATGCTGAAACTCTTTTGGCCCAAAGGTGGTTTAAACATCTGAAAGGTTTGAGTGCTGATGAGTGTTAACTTCACAACAAGGGGATATGATGTATAGGCTTTTGGCATTATTCACTAGGTTGCACTTTTAGCAGCTTTTCCTTTACTTTTGCAGTTTTTGCAAGGGAAAATGGCAAAATCTAGAAAATGCTTTCTATTTTATATGTAAACTTTTTGCAAATCAACAAAGAGTACATGCTCATTTGTACTAACAGTACAGTCATGTTAAAATGTCTGGGCACCCCTGGTCAAGTTGTATGTTTTTGTTCATTTTTTAAAGTGAAAATAAGTTAACAAATCCACTACAGAGAATACACTCCTGCTCATTTAATGCACAATTACTGTTTAATTTACTGAATTTAACATATTGGAAAAAAATACAAGATCTAATGTGGCCTGTGTGAAAGTGATGGCACATTTTTCCCCGATGTTAAATTTGCAAATAAATACAAATTGTGCACTAAAATCTGCAAGAAAATGCCATTTTTAAATGTATTCCTTGCAGAAGACGCGTTCACTTATTTTCACTTAGAAAATCATCAAAACAATTAGTTCATTTTCAATGACTCTGGAGAAACATGAGCAACCTGGTGCAGATCATACTATATTTATAAAACTGCTCCCTAAGGCAGAGTCCTGAAAGCTGCCCTCAGTTAAAAAGTATTGTCTTTCTCAGTACCCCTTCTAGAAACTGTGTTTTAGTCTAATTCCTGTGACACTGTTAATACAAAACTGACCTGCAGCTATAAAAGTGCTTCTAGTTTGTGGTTTCTGAAATTACAGCAAATTAAAGCAATGTTTCTCAGCTCTGGGTCTGCACAGATTTTGTGTTGTGTTTGCTCTCACACATCTAAGTCACATCATTTGGGGATCATTAAGCCCTTCTTTGCCAAACCGGGTGTGTTAGAGCAGGAAAACACAAAACTGTGCAATACAGGTGGGCCTTCTAAGTGGAAAGTCTGTTTTTAAGGAAAATAAACGTGCATATGCTGCCCCCTTGTGGCAGTAATATAACACTGAAAGTTAATAGTGTTGAGGTTTTGTGTTTGCTAATTTTTTTTTTTTCTGTGGCCTTCATCAAGGCCAGATCCTTTGAAACCAAGACAGCCCCCTGGCTGCCAAGATTAAGGCCAAAACTAAGATTGATCACTGTCATAAAGAGGCACCACTGCCTTAAAGGGTTCAGCAGTAAATCATACGCAAATCATTTCCCCCAAACGCAGTCGACCAGCCAGGACACGTTTGGTGTCTTTAGTTTACTTCTTTAGTTTAGCACTAAAGCTGAGAGGATAATGCAGTCAACAAGTAACTGAAGCTAACACTTCATCAGATAGCATCATCTTGTCTATATCTGCTCAGGGACTATGGCTGAAAATTAGCTAAGGATGGATATCAAGACTTCCTGTTGTGGTCTTGTACTTGATGCCAAAGACAGCATTTTCATATTGTCGTCCATGATCAAGAAACAGAGCACAAGCTCAAGGTTCCATCCCTTTATACTGACCAATCTGTGCAGTGTGGCTCCTCCTTGCTTGATTCTTGGCCTTGACGGCCTCTTTGATGCGGTCCACCTCCTGCTGGTAGCGCTTGCGGTCCCTCATGGCGTTCTCCTTGGCCTCCCTTAGTGCTGCCTCCAGAGCCCTCACTCGCTCTGCTGTGGCCCGTAGACGCTTCTCCAGCTTAGGCAACTCGCAACGCAACTCTGCGTTATCACGCACCAACTTTAGGGAGGGAGAGAGAAAGAGCAGGGGTACCAGAGGAGATGAGAAGAAGGTTTAGGAAGACACAACTTTGGTATCATCTGTAGCAATTAAAGAAAACCGTTGACACAGCACACCTGTTTGTGGACTTTAGTGAGCTGTTCCAGATTGTTCTCCAGGAAAATGATCTTTTGCTTCTGAGCCAGGCTGCCGCCCTCATCAGGATCCAATTCTACACTCTGTCAGAAAAAAAAAAATACGAAACTTTTTCAAATAAATCTGCAGGGATATTTTTTCACACCTCCAAAGTTCAGTTACTAGAAATTGGTTTAACATTTTCTGCTTTTCACCAATCCCAAACACATTCAGTGATCTTGAGGTCTGGACTCTGGGGTGGTCAGTCCATTGTTCTGAGAACACCAGCAGCTTCTTTGTTTGATTTGCACATTTTCTTTCTTTTTTTTTTTGTCTATTTCATTTAGATACTTGTGGATTTTTTCAAATCTGAAGCAACAGTGGAGCTTGATTTTCTCCTCTCTCTCAAAGATGAAAGTTTTAAGTGCTGTTTATCTGATGGGGACAGTTTCGGTGGTCTTACCATATCTTGTGGCTGGTTGCTAGAAGTCCCGTTTTCTCTGTAGCTTTTAATCATTTGAATTTCATTTTGGAAAACTCCTGTTTTTCCTCTTATTTTCCATTGACTTTTTCCTACCTTATGAAAGTGGATTATCTTGTCTTAACCTCTCCTCAGAAATATCTCCTGAAAAAATTACCAGTTTGACTGAAAATTAAATAAATTAAAAGCGATCTCTGACTTTTGCACAGTACTGCGTATAAAAATAAAATCCTGAACACCTGTATCTCAGCACACAGTAATATGCTAGACGTTGTCACTGAGGCTGCACAAACATGTCCACCGTGATTGCCAACAGCATGACCCAGAGAAAAAAGAACAGGTAAGGTCAAGAAACATCCACAGCTGTGAGAACAGTCTGACTTATTTTAGAGTTGGCTTTATTGTCACTTCAACGAGGCAATGACACGTTTACTTCACATTTCCTCAAAGAAGCTAATGACACTGTTTCCTTAGTAACACTGGAAATATCTCAACCAGGTGTTTTTTCCTCTTTTTTTTTTGTTAGAGAACATAAATCCCCATTAGTCATTCAGCTTCTGGCTCCAAAATGAAGGCTCAAAGCCAAAGGATGTCTGTGACTGGATGAGCCAGCAGTAGGTACCACCTATATGCTCAAGGGAATGCTGGGAAGTGCAGTAAAGCAAAAATACTAAAATAACAATAAAGAAACACCATGTTAACAGTAATATGTCTTAACGCTTACCCTGCTGACACGCGTGTTCAGGTCCTCAATGAAGAACTTACGCAGATTGTGGAGCGTCTGTAGCTCTTTTGCCTGGAAGTTCACAGAAAATATTATTAAAGATTAAAATGATGATGTAGTTAACCATCAATCAGCTCCATTAACAGATTATATACGCTGAGCGGCCAGTTTATCAGGTCCATCTACCTTGTATCTACACCCATGAACAGACACCATTAAGGTGCACTTTGTAGGTTTACAGTTACTGTCTACAGATCTTCTGTTCCAAAATAACTGGACTGCCATATGACCACTCTTGTAATGTAGCTGGTGTACAGCTGAGAGATTGCAGTCTGTCTGTTCATGCACAAATTGTGTTAGTCATCCTATAACTATACATCAGTGGTCAGTTTCTGACCACAGAGCCACTCTTGTCGGGGTATTTTTGAGAGGCGGTCCACTCTCAACCTAGCAGTGACACTGACGTGTGTGAAAATTCCAGCAACACCGCTGTGTCTGATACACTTGTACCACCATACACACACTACCACATCAGTGTCACTGCTGTGCTGAGAACAGACCACCACGCATATAATATCTGGTCAGCAGTGGTCTTGCGGTGTGGGACCCTCTGAGAAAAGAAGGCCTAATGATTTCTGGAAACTACATAAATATATGTCTGTACTTTTTAGGTCATTCTTTTTTAGCAGAATAATCATACTGCTGTTTTTGAACTCTGAAAGTATTGTAGTAATACTCCTATATCATTGCTAAGTTTGGTTTGGAAACAAAAGGGTTAAAATCTCGGAAAACAACAACAAAAATTGTCCAATCAGAATTTTTTTCTCCATGGTGTCTACAGAAATATAACCTAGTGAGCTCTCCCATTAGTTAGGCCTTCAGGAGCTGGACTGAAGGCCTTACACATTGGATTAGCTATCAGCTTAAAGTGACAGAGGAATCAACCAATTGCATTTTGATTTACAATGGTTGGAACTATTTTTTGAGGAAAAACATCATTCTAGGTCTTCTAGAAGTTCTCAGTACGTCCATGTGAATACAAGTAGTAGTCTAACCAGGTTTCAGTTGTTAGAAATAGAAAACAGTGGCAGCAGCTCTATGCCAGAACTCTTTCACTGTATAACTGATACAACTGATACAACATAAAATACAAGGCTTAAATGTTCATAATCAATCTAAAATGGCCAAAACATGCGGAACATTGTTCATGTGTACCAGTGTTAGCATGCTACTTACATACTGTTGGGAATCCCATAGGGGTGCTAGCAGAAATTAGCATTATAATAGAGTTGTTTTCCCTAATTTTTGACAGAGTTTTCATATTTATGGTCTAAACTGAAAGCCTAGCTCAACTAGTAATGGTTCACCACTGCTTTCCATTGATAGAAGGGGAAGAGACAAACTGTGGGCTGACAAATAGCGCAGCAACAGAGGTTTACAGTCAGTAATTGTAAACCAAGAAAGTGTAATTATGCCTAGTTTGTGACTGTTTGTTCTTACTTCTGAAAAATTATAATATACTGACAAAGTAAATGTTAGCTCTTACAGCATCACATCACTTGCTTACTTACCACAGTCTCCTCAAGACCCTTCAGATCCTCCTTGGCCTGCTCCCTCTTCTCATTTAGTAAACTAATGCACAGGGAAAACAGTAACTAAAACGCTTCACATACTTGAGCATATTAGTACTACATTAGTCCAAAAACTGAGGTCAGGTCATGGAAGTCAACAACCCACAAGAGCAGCCCACTTACACTAGTTTTTGCAGCTTCTCATCTTTCTCTCGTTCCTGCTCTTTGAGCTTGTCGTAGTCAGAGAGGAGTTTTTTCTGCTCCAGCTGAAGTGCCTGGTTCAGACTGAGAGAGAACAGATACATTTCAGGTCATCTGAGTAGGAGGACAATCTAATTCTCTAGTATTCATGCAAATAAATTCTGTTGACTATGTATTCAGGTTGAAATTCAGTTTATTTTCTGACTGAATTAGAAATCTTTACAGTGATTAATGCTGCCTTCAAGTCCTCTATATATGTATATATATTATTCCCGACACAACGTGAAGGCAGCAGAAGGTCAAGAATAAAAGCCATTTTCTGGTTACCCTGACTTAACTCCCCCTATGGAAAAAAATAAATTCCAAATGTATTTATCAAATATATCTGTCTGTAAATTGTTTTTGCTAAATATACTTTTAAAATGCCCTTATTTATGTTCATTACATTTTTTCAATGGCATGTAGTTTTAACAAAGATTACAGATGTAACTAAACAGCACTGACTTCTGTGTTTTGCACTGTACTTTGCATTAACCATGCACATATGCAGTAAGACTGCGTTCATAAAAATGTATTCCAAATAAACAAGATATCAAATCATAACTGCATTTTCACAGAGTATCGACACCTACAACACTTGCTTTTGCCATGTTAAAGGTTCATTAGCTAATAATTAAAATTAAGATACTGGAATACAAATTCATTTCAAAAGGTATCCAAACATCCATCCATCCATCCATCATCTAAACCGCTTATCCTTCTGGGTCGCGGTGGGGTGCTGGAGCCTATCCCAGCTGTCATTGGGCGGAAGGCAGGATACACCCTGGACAGGTCGGTATCCAAACAGTAAAGTGCAATAGACAGTATTTTGTCTATTTTCACACATTTTCAAATGTATTTTATAAAAACATTTACATACATTTATTTTTGTATGGTACGTTTCTAGGTGTAACAGAGCTGTTTGAAAATAAATGCATTTAAAAATATATTTGATTAATATGGCAATATGTGTGGACATATATGTCCGTATATTTGTATTCCATATAGGTGGCTTCAAATACGAGTTTCACTGACAGTTAGCAACGTTCGTAATGTGTATAACTTGTCTAAGAAGAGAGAGTACACATTTTGCTCTTAACTCTTTCAGCTCGTCCAGGATCTTCTGTTTCTCGTCGAGCTCATCTCTGAGACGAGACAGCTGCTTCTGATGGGCCTCTCGGTGAGTCTCCATCTGCTCCTCAAGAGTTTTCTACACACAGAAAGTTCATAGAACCCACATTTAGAGAAATGGTAAAAGGTAAGTCAACTGCTTTACAGTTTTAAATGAATGCACCCTTCCAAGTGATTCTTTCTCCTTTCGTTAGCACAACCTTACCTACGTCATGCTAATTAGCATCTAGCAGCCTTTCACTAATTAATAGCAATTTTCTTTTAAGATGCATTCGAATGGTAAAACGTTGCGGAAGCGCATGTGTAAAAGAAACAGAAGCATGTTATTTACCTTCATCTCTTCAGCATCCTTCATCTTGCTCATATGCTCCTTCTCCTTGTCCATCACGGACACTTCATGCATCTTTTCTGTATTAATATATAAGAACAGCATTTAGCTTATCTCTATGTTTTTTGGACATTTAGTGTAATTTGGATGACCTATAGTACTGTGCTAAAGTCAGAGAGTAAGAGCTTCCTGACAGCTACACATCCTTTCAGACCGATAGCACTGAGGTGTGGAAGGATGGACAGAAACACCTGTGGATTTTTTTTCAAATCTGAAGCAAGAGTGGAGTTTGATTTTCTCCTCTCTCGCAAAGATGTAAGCTTTAAGTGCTGTTTATCTGATGTCTCACAAAATTGTTCCACCCATTGTAAATCAAAATACGACTGGGGACAGTTTTGGTGGTCTACCAAGTCTTCCAGGTGGTTGTTAGGAGCCCCACTTTCGCTATAGCTTTTAATAATTTTTTTAAATTCCTGTTTTTTCACTTTTTCCTTTGACTTTTCTATGTAAGTGGGATTATTTTATATGTAATCCCCTCAGAAATATCCTGTGTGTGCATCTGTGTGATTCACACACCCTGCGCATGGAGTTTAGCCAACTCCTCCATCAGTGAATCCTGGCTCTCCTCCAGCTGCCTCTTCTTTTGCTCCACGTTCTGCATGTAGTCCGTTAGGGACTTAATCTTGGCCTGGAGCTGCATCAGTCAGAGATGAACATGCATTCAGTAACAGGTACATGTAAACTATTAAACCTGTAACAGGTACAAATGTAAATGTAATTAATTACATAACTTATTTATGTACTGAGTACCGTAGTACTGTGGCCCTAGACACTTGTGGAACACAGGATTTCTTTTATGTGTGCCACTAGAGGGCTCTGGTGAGTAAAATCTGATCAATCGTCAGTGACTTTACCTGTTTAGCTCCATTCACCCTCATTCATTTAGGACTCGCAAGCGAGCACCCTCTGGCGTTTTGCAGTCATGTTTTTGATATAACAGGAGAAATAATAAGTGGCCAGGCTCCCCTTGAACTGGCTCTCACCTGGGAGATTAGCAGTTGGCAGGATGCCAGCTCCTTCTCATTGGCCTGCATCTTGCGTGCTGTGTCAGCCTGGGCAACTTCCAGTTGCTTGCTGCGGTTCACCAGAGACTTCACCTCTGACTTCATCTTGCTGATGTAGAGGCGGGCCATGGTGAACTCCTCCTCCATCACTCCATGTGTTTCTGTCATCTGAGTGGGACAAAACAATAAGGTGGAAAGAAAAGAATAAGGTGGAAATGTTGGAGAAAGGAGAAGAGAAGAAGTATTAGTTGTGCTTGTCACACTGAATGATCTTCTTTTATCTTTGTATGACCAGTCTATATGAAAGGTGCCAACATTTCTCTTGGGTTCTCCATCAAACTTCTAATATTTTAATCTAATATTAATCATATTAATTAAATCATCTTTATCAAAAGATATTACAACATTACACCTCAGAAGACACATGCAGGTTCACTATTCACTTTGTGCAGTAAATAAAGTGGCTATATTTTGATGTAAAAATTTTGACCCCTGGTTCCCATCACCACCAATGTAAAGAAATCTGAGTCGGTACATTTCTCTACAATAAACAATTTCACATTAAAGCACTCTGAATGACTTTGTTTACATTTCAGTAAGGTTTGAAATTGTGGAAAATCTGTTTCCCCTTTATTAAGGAGTGTAAATCAAATGTCAATGTAATTCAATACACAACAAGCTGTATAATAGATGATGACAGCTCCAGCAAGGATGTGTGCATATGTGCATTTGTATGTCAACAAGAGAGAAGGATGTGCAAATCAGAAGGTCTTACAGCTTTAAGGTCGCTGGTACCGACGATGCTTCCAATCTCGCTGAGGTCTCTGAGCAGCATGCCAAGGATCTCTGCAGATCTCTTCTTATGATGTCCACTCATCTCCTGAAGGGTGGCGAAATCCCTCTCCACAGTGGCTAGCAGCGTCTATCACACACAACACAGAAGGTTACCTCAGCCCCAGCAGTACTAAAGTACAATAATGTACGCTACTGGACAAAGTATGGAAGACAGCAGTGTTTTTTTAAAGCTTCAAAAATATGTTAGTTACATGAATTAGCCAGCAACCACCACAGCATGTTTATTCACATCTACTCTAAAAAAAAATGTTTTTCCAGTATACTCATTGTTTTGCAGTGATGTTCTCTTACTCTTTGTGTATTATGTGAGAAAAGTCTCAGGGCTTGTTTACACCTTGCATCAACATGCATTTTTGGTGAACAGATCTCGTTCAGATTTCACTTGACCACATGAAAAGACAGGTGTAATGTAAACAAAATATGTTTTTGTTATCTGTACACAACTACTTAAGACAAACAATTAGAATACTGAGAGAATAAACAATGAAATGAAAGCTGGGGGGGGGTACATTGGGTTCCCAAAAAACCAACAGCCTCCTTGTACTCCAGGCTCGTACTGTACCAGGGAAAAAAGTAAACAAAAGTAAATAAAAAAAACAACAACAAAACATTTGTTTTTTGTGCCTTTTACACAGAAAAAGTATAATCAAATCTCATCTGGTCAAACTGGAGATGAATTTTATTAAGAAGTGTAAAAGGAATCCAGCTAAAGACATGTTAATGCAACACATGTTAATGCAAGGTGTAAACAGGCTCCTAGTGTCTCAATACTGGCTTTAGCTTGCTAGCATAAGCTACCTACTAACCTGGGCATGATTCAATGATGCAACAAACCAGTGATTTGCCATTTCCTTTTAGTGCTAAATGTTAGTGATTTAAAATGATATTACCCTAAAAAGCGTCCAGTCTCCAGAGAGAGGTGTACAGAGTATATAGTGCACTGTAAAGAACTGATGTACATTCACAGCAGAAACACTGCAGTAATCAATTGTACTCCTCAAATACAGCAGATAGCTGTTGACAATCAGTATTTTTGGGAAAAACAGGTCAAGCGTCTTGTCAAAGAAGTTAAAATGTCAGATTTACAGTCAGCAGCTGTTATTTGAAAATCATTCTGGGAAAGTGAGTGGCACTTTGAGCGATCTTAAGTAGCCTGTCTTTAAATACTGCAGCAACGGCGGGTAGAGCTTTCTACCTTTCCAGCTTTTCTTGTGGTTTGTTAGCTTTTGTTTTTTGTAGTTTTTGCTTTCCCTTTTACAGTTTTGTTTTAAAATATTATTCCTACCTCAAAAATCTCAAAAATTAGAATTCTGAAATTTGAAATTTGAATACAGATATTACATGTTTTTGAAGCATTTCTATTGGTCGATTCATCAATGTTTTTCAAATTATGTCGAAACAACGGAAAAAGACAAAAACGGAGACGAGGTTTTATTCCGACCGCAATGATACATTTGGTTACTACCATCTTTGTACTCTTAATGGCTGGTATAAGTGCATGCAACTGCTGCAATGTGGCGTTCAGTTCATGATGTGATTGATAAACAACACTATGCTGTTGTGAAAAATAGTGCAATCAATCTCTTAACTATGTAACAGCCTACATAAACTATGTAATGTAAATGGGTTCACATTAGAGCACATGTAAGCTATACAATGGAAATATGATGTATTGTAATTTTATGAGTATTGCAACAAAACCTTAATTAAATTTGGTCTAAAAGAAATGGTCAGTAAGAAACTGCTGCCAATAAATAGTGTACCTTTATAACATTTTGAAATCCTACATTTGTCACACAAAAACACAGTTATCAAAATACAAAGACTTCTAACTCTGATTCAAAACTGCAGCTGCAGGTAAAGTATACTTTTCAAATTACATTACACAACCTCCTTAGTGAAAACTAATCCAGCTCCACCAGTGCTTTAGAAGACTACTCCTTGCTCTCTTGCCTCCTGTCTTCCCCTACACTCCTGCACTGTTTCCCCTAATCCTCCTCCTTCACTCACGCTCTTCTGTGAGAGCTCCTCGTTCAGCTGCTTGTTGGACCTTCCTTTCTCCTCCACCTCCTGGCTCTTCTGGTCATAGTTCACTGCCAGCTCCTCCAATGCCTGCAGCACCTCCTTCACCTCCTCCTTGGCAGCCTGGTGCTCCTGCTGCAGACGCCCCAGCTCCTCCTGCAGCTTCTCGTAGTCCCGCCGCAGCGACGCCAACAACTGTGAGAGAAATACATTTAAGGAATGACTGCACTATCCTGCTAGTACTCTGCAGGATTTCAGGTTTCAGGTACACAGGAAGCCGTTATGGGCTGCAGGTGATTCCGTAACAACTAAGAAGGTTGAATGACATGAAAAATTTAGTTACAATTGCAATTAAAATTAATATCCAAAATGTTAATTAAAATCCAAAAGTTACAAGAAAATCACTATAGATATTCACAGTATATTGGTTTAATAACCATCATCTATCATATCATTTAATAAGTTTACAAACAACTTACTTAATAGTTTTCTTCTAGTTTAGAATATTCCAATGTACACTGTTTAAGTTGTTATTGAATAAAAAAACTTATAATTATTAATATGGCAAATCATCCCAAATCTTTGAATTCTAGCATATGTATTTGTTGGGGGAGAGATGGTTCTTCAAGGGTTCTTCAGTAAAGGCAATGGTTCTATTTAGAACCACGAGTTCTATATAGCCCTGTGATGGACTGGTAACCTGTCCAGGGTGTTCCCTACCTTCTGCCCAATGTGCGCTAGGATTGGCTCCAGCACCCCCTGCGACCCGGGAGGATAAGCAGCTTATATGATGAATGAGTGAGTTCTATACAGAACCATTTGTAGGCTTAAATGGTTCTTTGTATGGTGACATGGCTCTTCAGATTGATGGGGAATGAGTTATATATGATTCTGTATAGAACCTGTATGAAATGGTTCTATATAGCACCAAAAAGGGTTCTGCTATTGTTACAAGCTTGACATCATAACTACAGCAGAACCCTTTATGGTACTATATAGAACCATTTTCAAAAAGGTTCTATATAGAACCATACACAACACATTTTCCATCAATCTGAAGAACAATTTCACCATGCAAAGAACCATTTAAGCTTGCTTACTTACACTAAACAGAACCATTGCCTTTTTCTACAGAACCCAATCCTAACCAACACTGCCAAGGGCAGAAAAACTCCCTAACAGTGGAGTTATGATACAAGTAGAACCTGTTTTAATGGAAGATGTAACAGAAATGCTGGGACCATACAGTTTCAACATCTTCAAAAGGGACAACTGTTAAAATGTCAAAAGGTATAAATTATTCATTGCATGTTTTCCGCTATTTAGAGTCCTCAAGCTTTCAAACATGGACAGCCTGAGAGAAGATGGAGGATGAAACTGTGCAGTTGCCATGGGAACAATGTTATTCAAACTGCATTGATGGGGAAAATTATGCTTTTAACACAGTTGAATGGCTCTTATTCTAACTGAAGGGATTAATAAGTAGAGTGTTTACAATGCTACTTGCATTCAGAGTGATATGATGCAGTGACAACTATAACCAGCAGGTGGCAATATATCAGATTTTATGGTAGTATATCACAATGTCAATAGAAGGGATGTTCTAATCGATCACTTTAATATTGATAAGTGTGAAAGAATAGGTGACGACTTGAAGGCTCAATGATCTAATGATCAGCAGAAGACATTACCGCTCAAAATGAGAGTCGCTTCATATGAACACAGAAACAGATATCCGCTCTGTTCTGAAGGGCTGGAAGGAATAATTCAAAGAACGATTCGGTTTGACTATATCAGATTTATTCTGCTTACATAGGGTGAGACATGTTTCGTGTCTGTAACTTGCTGTGTTAGTTTTTTACTTAACAGAGTTAAGAAGTAATGGAAGCTCTTGCCTCTTAAAGTTACAACGTCTACCTGCATGCCTTGATTTATTTTTATTTTTTGCATATATGTAGATTTTAATATAATATCTGGATATTCTTTCCCTAAAAATTTTTTTTTTTTTAACATATCTGTGTTTCTGCATTAGAATACATACATTTTTGTTCATATTTATATGTATGAAGTCAAAAAACATTATGTGTGTAAAAGCGAAGTTGATATATGCACTGGAAATATATGAAATAACAAAGAAAGATGTCTAAAAGCTTGTCTCTCCTCACTGTAAGTGTGTATGTGTTAAAAATGCTCTGTGATGTGCAGTCAATTTTGTGAATGGGCTGTGAGTGATATGAGGGGAGGGATGGGCTGCAGAGAGACAGGCAGTGTGTTCACCTCATCCTGATCCACCATCTGCTCCTTCAGATTCTCCACCAGCTGACTGTGCTGGTTGATCTCATCGTCCTAGAGAGAGGGAGAGATAGAGAGAGACAGACAGACTTCTTTATTTTTACTATTATCCATATTTTTAAATAATACTGTAAACATCAAAATTATGAAATAACATGAAAACACACATCCAATCAGAAATACTGACCTATTGCCAGAGCTATTAAGTCCCACCCCACCTTACAACACATCAATAAAGACGTATACTCCACTAGTGAGCTGCTTATTCTCAATAGTAGCAAACATGGTCATTTTTGTTTTGGAAATAAATTTACACACTTAGGCATAATTTTTTTGCATTAAGGTTACACAATATCAAGCATAAAGCACAAGCTTTTAGGCTACGTTCACAATGCTAGTCTAAAGTGGCACAATTGTCTTAATGTGACATAAATCTGATTTTTTTCAGAGCTGTGTGGACACACAAATCTGATCTTTTCAAATCCTACCTGAGCCACTTTTATATGTGGTCTTAGGCCCTGTTCACACTTGGTATTAAGATCTGTCTAGAGTGAGATTCAGGCACAGCGAGACGTGTAGCCGTCTCCATCTCCAGTGATTGGATTTCATGACTGGAGGAGGAGTACCAGCCACATTTACTATGTCAGCCTCTCGCTGCGTTTGTTGTCAGACAAAAATGTACCGTGAGTCTGTGTTTATGTAAAAGAAAGTGCTGTTACAAACGTTTAGATCACATGAACTGCTAACACAACTTGTAAACAAATGATGGAGGAGACAAAAAAATAAGCTACACAGCTGCTTTCATCTTTGCTGTGATGATGGTGGTCATATAGCGTCCCTGACCACCTCTGAAGGTGGTTTGAGTGATCGGATCACAATATGTCTCCATGACGCACTGGACCCTGTTCACATCTGTGCTTAGCGCTGTCCACTTATGATCAGATCGTCCAGGACAGTGTGAATAGGGCCTTAGATCAGATACAAATCCGATTCATGGCCATGTGATGCTCAGATCAGAATTCAGGTGTTTTTTTTTCACTGCACATGCACTATAATTCACTGTTACCATGTCAGCAGTGCCGAACCTGATTTTAGTGCCAGTAAAGGGTCCATCTGACCCTTTTTTTCCTTCCCCTTGCTGTAATTATGAACAGCTAACAGCAGTTTAGAGAAAATTATCTTCATGACAAAAGCTCATTCTGCTGGTTCACATGGTTCGTTCACTTGACGTCAAAGGTTAGGATCAGGATTAAGATTAGGATGTGCACATGCAGATCATTTCAGGACACAGGTTCATCCACATTAATGACAGATTTGAGCCACTTATCTACACAAATGTGAACAATCAAGTTAGAAAGATCGAATTTGAGCAAAAAATCTGAATTGAGCAATGAGGCTTGTAGTGTGAACGTAGCCTTAGATCAAAATATCTTCATTATTATTAAAAAAACTCAATGAAGTGTGTCCAAACTTTTAACTGGTTCTGTATACGCTGAAGAGGAAGTGCACTGAAAGCACAATATTATTTCTAAACGGTGGCCTGTCACTGGATACTTTTGATTGATAGCAGTGCTACGCTGCTTTTAGCATCCACAGAGCAACTCAGGGTTAATAAATCTTCAAATCAATCAAGTGTGAGGCTGCGTTCGGACAGCGGAGCGCATTCTGCCTAAAAGGCCATTACATCCTACGGCAGGATGTGGATTCCTCTGGCACAACTCCAGGGACTGAGCTGAAAAATGTTGTTCAGTGGAAAAGCTCCGCTCATTATATGTCACTTTTCATGAGGTAACAAATCAAAAAAGAGGGCAAGTAAAATTGAACTGGACAGCAAATGCAGAGCTGTCCACTATGACAGTGTTGCTCACATTTGTGATTTAAAAAAGGTTGAAGATAACTATTAATTCACTTCTGTATGTACTATCCTCTACATTGTTCTCACTGAACTGTAAACATGAGAAACAGACGTGAGAAGTGGTGAGAAGTTTACTTTGCCTTGGGTACACTACATGACTTTATAAGTCTGAACAGATTATAAAAAGACTGGGCATCTTACACTATCTGACTGATTTTTTGTGGCGACTGAAATATTGAGTATCACACACTAAACGACTAGGGATCACACACTACTAAACATTCAAGCAGTTGCTGAACAAACGTTCTTTCAAACAAAAGTTTCTTCCCCCGGGCCATCAGGCTGCTGAACAGTCAGTAGTGCTGGTGTATCGGTCTATAGGCCTGTACATTGGAATAGTGCAATACTAGTGTATATTGTGTATATGTGTATAAATGTAGAGTTGGTGAATATATTTCTTTTTTTCTTCTTTTATATATATATATATATATATATATATATATATACACACACACACACATATATGTGTATATATATATATATATATATATTTATATATATATATATATATATATGTATATATATATATGTGTGTGTGTGTGTTTGTATATATATATATATATATATATTTATATATATATATATTTATATATATATATATATATTTATATATATATTTATGTGTATTTAAATTCTGCAAAGTTTGAGTGATTTTCACTCACCTTGCACCTGTGTAAATGTGACAATAAACATGATTTGATTTGATTTGCTCAGAACCAGGTCGAAAATATCAAACATTTGATAAACTCCAACTGGTCTGAAACACAATCGGGAAGCAGAAAATCTGAGTCTGCGCCCCTCGATTCTTTCTCCAACTGTCGACTCCGACTGACCCAAAAATCTGCAGACTAGAGCCCTAATCGGGGTAAAAGTCGTGTAGTGTAACCCCGGCTTTAGTTGAGGCGTTCAAGGCAATTGCTTACATTGCTACTGTTTACATGGGCTGTGTTGTAAGAATTAAACCTGGCAGACCTTTTCTCCTCCAAAAACAAACGCAGTAAGTGTTGTACAGCTAGTTTCTTGGCTCTATCTGTTCAGCGTGATGTGTGATGTGGTGTTGAACACCACCCATTTGCCACTTTGCAAAACCTGTCATGGTTGGATTCCTCACGGCTCAGACGCAGATTTTTTGCAGAATACACATCCTTTGCCTGCTTTTACTGATATGAAGTAATGTTATTGTGGAGTACCTTGTCATCCAGCTGCTGGTAGAGGTCATTGATCAGCTCCTCGTATTGGGTTTTCTCTGTGTCACAAAGAGGCTGTGGGGGCGGGGCCAGCGTGTCGATAATGGGCGTGGCTTCAGAGGTCTTCGCTTCCTTGCTCTTATGCTGCTCTTCGACCGGAACTGCCTCGCCTGAGAGAGAGAGAGAGAGAGAGAGAGAGAGAGAGAGAGAGAGAGAGAGAGAGAGAGGGAGAGAGAGGTGAACCAGAACAGAATTGTGAAATCTTTCAGTGGTGTACCTTATAAATTACCTTATTAATATTATACGTAGCCATCAGTGCTAACACCCTCAGGCCGCTAACTCAACAACACAGCATATTTTATCAGAGTAAAGAAGATATGGATGTGCATAAACAACCGGGTGATGAGGTGGATTAGGCCTGTTAAATGTCAGCAGACCACATCAGCCTCCAGCTGGGACTGAAAACCAAGCCAAATACTAATCTCTTCAGTCCAAAGAGGCAAGAAAGGACTGAACTACTGCAGAGCGGCAGATATGAAGAGAGCGAGAGAGGAAAGTGAAGTGGAAATGAAAAGAGCAGACAGAGAGTGGAGGAGCTTCAAGGGCTGTCTGGACTTTGTAGTGTAGAGATGTGGGAGTAGACTTCAGCTGCCTTACAGCGTCACTCTGGTATAATGAGGGAGGGAGTTTAATAGAGACGCTGAGAGGAAAGAGGCAAATTTGCCATAAAAATGAGATAAAAATTGACAAAGGCAGATTAAAATGAAGTGCAATATTTTAATAATGTATTATAAAATTGAAGAAATGTTCAAAATAGGTTACTGAAATGTATAACTGTATCACTGATATGCCCCTGAGTCTCTTCTGAGGGTCTCTCAATGACTATGTTAATGGAAAGTCTATAGACAATAAGCAAAATTAATTAGAGTAAAGTGTGCAGGGATGACAATAATCACGCAGAGAGTTATGCAATGATAATTTCACAGTTACAAAATTATAATAACATAGTTAATTGTGAACTGATAGTTACATAGTTAGATATGTAATGATAATTACTTAACTAGTTACATAATAATAATAACATAGCTACTTACATAACACAGAACTATTAAACAGTTCTGTAATGATAATTATATTATTAAGTAATGATAATTACATAGTACTGTAATTATGGATTACATAGATAGGTAATGATAATGACCTAGTTAGATAGATAATGCTAATTACATAGTTGATTAATAATTAATTACATTATAAATTATGTAATCAATTATATTTGCATATTTATTCTGTATCAAAAGGTTTGAGTCTGCACTTATGACATTTTTCCATGTATCAATGCTAAAAATAATAAAAACATATGGCATTTTCTGAAAAAACATTTCTTCCCACAAAACAAGCCTGTAAATACAACAAAAACTATTTATCAAATTCAAATCATAACACGCCACACAAGTGTGGAGTTAATCAGAACTTTAGAATCCTCATATTCAGGCACAATTGCTTGTTTTAATCAGCTGTGAGAAATAATTAATGCAAAATTACAACATGCATTATTGACTAAATTTTACAGGCTAAAAGATCTCCTATATTCATCAACGTTTTGTTTTAGAATGACCTTAAAGATAGACCACTGTTTGTAAGCTTATCGGCTGTCTAGGAGAAATAATGATTGGTCAGCCAACGAGAAAAAAATATTATATATGGAAATAACGATGCAGGCCTAACTTCCCCTTCTCATGGCACACACAGCACAGTTAGGCCTGCATCGTTATGCTGCTTCAATGATGAGCACATGTTGCTTTCAAGGCCCTAAAAGTAATATGAAGAGATTCCTCATCTTGGTGGGTCACAATCAATGACCATCTGGTAAACATCAGAAAGAGAATATCAGTCCAGACAGTTCATGTCAGAAATGTCCTCTGAAACGTCTTACTGATTCATTATACTTGCTTTGAGCCTCATGTTGCTGTCCTATTTGAGGAGTTTCAGGCTTAAACTCTCGTTATACTAATGACATCAACCAAGCTGCTGAAGCTGGAGGTAATCTGATGAAAACAAAACACAATATGACTACGAACGACATCCCTAACCTAATTTCCTGTCAGTTATTTTGGTTTCATCTCATAGGAAGAAAGGTATGTGGTGAGTCAGTCAGAATGCTAAGCTATATTTCTGTCTCTGGTTAGAGTAGTTTTTGTCCAGCAGGTGGAGCTGCTGAGGATCACAGCCACACACTTGATACATTTTTCAAATATCTCTACCGAAGGTGGGGTTAAAGAATGTGTAAAATTGTTTCTGTCATAACGAAATCTCATAACTTTTATCCATTTTAATTTTCATTTCATTTCACTTGAGAACACCAGGTGCCCTTTGCTTTCTGAGAACATTTAATAAACAGTTCCTTTGTAATCCCTACATTGTTTGTAATGTTTTGTCTGACAGCAGAAAAATGCTCACAATGTTTTAGTCATAAAAAATGTATTTACAGATGTATTTACTCTTTCTAGCTCAATATTGCCATTTCTTCCTCGCTGGACAAAAGGTGCACTGATCACTGGCAAATGACTCATCCCCACAGCCCTGGAACACATGGAGGTCCGTTATATACTTGTCATTCCTTAATTTCTTTCGAACTCAACACCCAGCACTTACTGTAGAGCTTCAAGCTCCTGTGTGAGTTAATGGAACTCTCTGCTGCTGAACCTTTTAGCAGAACGGGCTGTTACCCAGTGTCTGTCTTTGAGTTGTGGACACTGTGTCCATTATAAGCATGACCTAAAACCTCAATTAACCAGATAGGACAGTCTATGACAAGTACCAGGTCACATCTAATATGTGCATCGGTACCGTAGATGACAGAAAACAATGTTGTGATGAAATTCTCTCTCTCTGTCTACCTTTCCTCCAGCGTTTGAGCTCGTTCTCCAGTCGCTGGATGATGACCTTCAGCCCCCTGTTCTTCTCTTTCTCCTTCTCATACTTCTTCTTCCACTCCTCCGCCGTCAGCTCCATATTTACTGACACGGTGTTCTTGATGGTCTTTGCTCTGTGTGGAGAGATACGAGGAGATATTGGTGAGCTAGGCTCTCATTTTTTACTGACTTTGCATCAAAGTCCAAATAATAATGGATGTGAAATCCAGCGTTTGGCCTGTTCTGTTTTAATGAAGCACTCATTTAGCAGGTGGATTAGAGAATTTGACCTCTGATTCACAGGAGCAGTGAAACAGAGAATAACTGAGGGTGGGTGACAGGGCGATGTAATCAGATGTCATTAAAGATGGAGAAGTAACCCAATAGCGATGTCTAAAAGGCAATGGAGGCAAAGGAATGAGAGAGAATTAATTTGCCTTTAAACAGCTTGTAAATGTGTTGGGAAACTAGGGTTCAAGTTTAAAGCATGCAGGTGCGTGCCCCAATAGTCAGTTTATTGTTTGAGAGAGAGAGAGAGAGGGACAGAGAGAGAGAGAGAGAGAGAGAGAGAGAGAGACAGAGAGAGAGAGAGAATGAGTTTAAGTTTGTTAAGAAACTGCCTGTTAGTTCTCTCTGCTATGCTCTGTAATGCTAGCTTTACCACACGCTTCTTTATTTAAATTGCAATACTTAGCATATCAAATAGCAAATCTTAAAAAAGCACAAAAGAATTGTGGCTCAAACAAGTTTTGTGGCTTAAGTACTGTGATAATACCATATTTTGGGGCCAGTAGTGATTCCCACCCCTTCTGGAGCCCATGTTAAATTTCTTTTTAATCAAATACGCCTGTTGGCTAGTGTTCTTTAAACACTGATGATACTTATCAAATGCCCAGAAAAGTGAAATATGACTTAATTTGTCATAATGATTTCATTTCATTATACACCCATCCTGAAACTAAAAATAAACAACCAACCAAACATAGACAGGCAGATAGCAGTATTAGCTCCCTCTGGCAAACCGCCTGTATGTGTGTCTCATAGATAGAGAGAGATAGAGATGGAGAGAGAGACAGAGAGAGAGAGAGAGAGAGAGTGAGAATCAGTCTTAATGACACACAGTGGAGTTAAATTGATTCGTAATCATTTTAGCAGTGAGCTCCTGTTTAAATACAGCCGGACTATCTACCGTCCACAGCTTGTCTCATTCACAATGACTTGCATTCTCAACGCTTCTGACCGCCGCCCACTACCTTTACTGCAAACGGACATTAAGCCATTACCGTTATCAGCAGGTCTATATATATCCTGCAGTGAAGGACTCCAGAAAAAAGGACTGATGTACACTCACTAAAGCCCCGTTCACATTTGCCATTAACATGTATCCTAGGTGATCTGACCATATGTGGACAGCGCTAAATACAGGTGTGATCGGGGTTCAGTGCATCTTGGAGACACACTGTGATCTGATTACTCGAGCCACAGTCGGAGGTGGTCAGGGATGCATATGACCACATTTCATTTACAAAGACAAGACACTGAAGCGTCTTGTCTTTGATAGCCGTGAAGGACCGCCTAAATCAGCTGTGTCATCACAGCAGAGACGAAAGCAGCTGCGTAGCTTCATTTACAATTTGTTTACAAGTCAGGTTAGTGGTTCACAACAAAAACAGCAGACTGACATAGTAAATGTGGGGGTACCCTTCCACCAGCCACGAAATTTGATCACTGGAGACACATTCGAGACACACAGGCTACGTTTACACAGCAGGTAAAAGTGGCCCAAATCTGATTTTCTCACCATATCCGATTTTTTTTGTTTGGCTGTTCACATGATCTTTTAACCTACGGCTGCATTCGGACGTTTCGTTCGAAACCTCTTCGAGCACGGAGCGGTTGCGTTCAGTCTCTTCTAATTTTCGGTACAGAAGCGTCAGCCTAAATCAGTTTCAGCAGCGCGAAATTATGACGAATGTCGAGTTATACTGACGTAAAAGTTGCATCAATTCCGATCTGGCTGTTCAGACTGAGTCGCATTGCCGCGGATCGGATACATATCGGATTTCAGTGTCACATATGAAAGCGTCTCAAATCGGAATTGAAAATGTCAGATTCAATGCGTTTTTTGCTGTTCACACTGCCACACAGATGACACATCTGTGTCACATTTGAGGAAAAAGATCGGATATGGGCCACTTTTACCGGCTGTGTAAACGTAGCCATAGAGATGCCAGGTGTGAACGGCTATCCGTCTCGCTGTCCACTTATGACCAGATCACTCGAGATGGATGTTAATAGCAAGTGTGAACAGAGCCTAACAGTGATGCTGACAAAACAAAGAATGTAACTAAGAAATTAAGTGCAATATAAGATCACCAGCCACGTGATTAGAAACCCCTACCCCTGCTGGTGTACGGTTAAGGGGAATTTCACTGATTTTCAAGATTTCCCATTAAAAATTAATAACTCAGTCATTGAGATGTAACCAAAGTCATTCAGAGTGCTTTGATGTGAAATACTCCATTCTAAAGAAACTTACTAACTCAGATTTCTTTACAGTGGTGGTGATAGGAACCAGGGGTCATGACGTCTACAATATAAATATAGCCATTTTATTTACTATCCAAAACCACCAGTGAACCTACACTACAGAGTTTTGTATGTCATGTTGATGATGGTGGTCAAATGGTGGATAATCTAACATTTTCTTTGGGGACTATTTTGCCTCACAACGCCCTGCATATACTCCTCTGCCATGAATGTATTCTAAAAAGATGATTTAACCCAAAATCTTTTGAAAACTATCATAAAACAATGCCTCAGACATCAGGCAGCACATTCATAACCATTTCACGTAGAAACTTTCTGTGAGGAAGCTTTTAGACGTGGATGTCTGGTTTCTGTCATCACCACTGTAAACATTTCTGACTCGTTAAAACTCTCTAGAACATTTTACATCAAAACCACTCAAAGAGAATTTTGAAAAACCTATTAAAAAGGACGAGGTGCATATATATATATATATATATATATATTTGCATTTATATGCATACGCATTTTATATCTTAATTATAGTTAGTGTTACCCATTATCTTAACTGTCTATTTCAGTTATTAAAACTGGGCTGGGCTGGTTGCACCACCATTTGACTTACTGGTTGTGCCACCTGACTTTTAATTAAACAGGCATCTACTTACACACTGGCAGAAACTTCTGTCCTTTAATTTGAGTTTCTACTTACGTTTTTTCCAACATAGATATGTTATTACAATAATCACACATCGTCATGGTTTTCCTGAGGTCACACCACATGATGTGGTAAACTGAACCATTCTAACTACGACTCAAAAATGTAATTTTTTTTCCAACATATGCGAAGGGTCTAATGACCTTGGCCTTGCACCACGAAGTCACTTGGGATCTTTTCTTTGAAGCTACACCCTGGCCCCTTTTTTGTAAAAGCAAGTCAAAATAAAAGTCCTTTGTTTTTGGATGTGCACATCAGTGGTCAGTGGGGAACAAACTTAAATGTTGTGTTTCTGCACAATTTCTATTTATTTGCTGAGATTAATATATGAAAATGTTAAATAGATAAACCTTGATTGTGCATTAAAAGATGCAGAAGTGTGTTCTCTGTAGAGGATGTGGAAGCTTTCACTTAGAAAATTCACACATCAAGTCGTTTGACCAGGGGCGCCAAACTTTTGCATACGGCTACATATTTAACCCCTAGATGTCACAGTTATCCCTGGAGATAACAAAAGCATGTTATAATTTTATATGAACAATTTCTCACTCACACTTTTTGAACATTCACTCCCTGAACATTTGCATTTGTAAGTAGAAGAGGAGACATGTTCTATTGAATCTAATTTGGTGAAAGTACAGACTTGTTTTTTTTGGAAAGAAAAAATATTATGTACATGACAAGTTTTTCTATTTACACTAATGCAAACAGGTAAACATTGCAAATGCAGATCAAACCTGCTGGATTGTAAATACAAATGTAATTCATTAGTCAACTATGTAATTAATTTTGCAATTACCTTCAAATTACAATTACAAGAGTTAACGGGAGCTGTTTTATTGCAGTGTCTGTGTGAAAGGCATGAACAGAGCAGATCAACGCATCACTGCATATTAGATTTGTAGTTTTATGCCAATTAAGCTTCAGCATCTGCTGAGGAATAGTTTAGTGGCTTGGGGAATAGAGACAGGCTGCTTGTGTCTGTGAGGAATGTACAGTGTAGTTTAACAAACAGGATGGCCTGAGGGAGCTCAGTGGAGACAGGAAGAGAAACAGCCATGAATATGTACATTTATAAACACATGCATTGGATTAAAAACACAAACACTTGGTCCTCACAAGTACTGCACTACAAATTAGGGCCAGACCGATATGTCTGCTGGTTGATAATATCTGCCAATGCTGACGACCGGCAGTTTTAAAGATATCGGTGAAATTATTGTCAATAACATGTTTTTTGACTGAGGTATTTTGAGCTCATGACTTTGGATGTTTTGCCACTGAGGATCTCAGTATAAGTTACCCTCTGTTTTAACTACAGTATTACTGATTGAACTGGAGAATTTTAACACCCTACTGGTTAAATAATAATAAAAACGTGCAGCAATATGCAGTCGTGACAATCGAGAACTGGCTGTCACATCAGTCAGTAAAGTACTGCTTAATTTAAACATTTGGGGCCAGTTTTTCTCAGACAGGGATTAAGCCTAGTCCTGGACTACAGAGGAGTTTGAAAGGAGATCTCCCACTGAAAGGAAACGACAGTACAAGATTAGGCTTAATATCTGTCTAGGAAACTGATATAAATATGAAATTATATTGGCCGATGTTGCTTTTGGGAATTTTTTCCACCCTTTCAAATCGATATCAGCCACAAAATTTTCAGATTCGTCGTACCCTACTACAAATACACCCACATATACACACAGTCTCAGTCACACACTGTGTTTTTCATTATCCAAAGCCCTATACGACCAGGCTTAGTTTTCCATGGGGAGGTGGGGTAATGCCAGTTTACCGAAAGATATCTGTAATGTTTATGACCGATTCGCATGGGATAAGAAATCTCAGTATGAACGACAGAGATAAGAGCAACTACTCGATTTATGCACCGCTTTTACTCCAGAAAAGAGTTGATAACGTAAAAAAAACATTTAATTTAGCCGTTATTCTGTTTACCCTAACTGTCTACATTACTGTCTGAAGTAAATGCCTTTGAGCACATCAGCTCTCCTGCAAGGCAAGATTGGTCTAAATAGCTCTATGTGATAGCAGGTTAGTATTTCCCACTGATTTCCATGTGTTATTTCATAGTTTTGATGTTTTCACTACTATTCTAAAATGTGGAAAATAGTCAAAATAGAAACCCCTTCTAACTTTTTACTTACAGTATACCGAATGATAAGACATGAAACAGACACAGAGCAGAATGCGAGCACTTCCTGTAAAGCAGAAGGGTTTCTGGACTTACCTTTGGCCGAACATGAGTGTTGATTTGGTCTCGGCTTCGTTAAAGACGGATGGAGAGCAACAGATGACGATGGTGGTCCTGCAGTTACCGCCCAGAGAGTCCTGCAGGATCCGGGTCATCTTACTGTCTCTGTATGGCACATGAGTTTTCTACAACAGTAGAAACAGAAACATGTTAGCATTAAAACTGACAAATACTAGTTTACTGATTCAGTAACGCTGAGTATCAGTGGTGGCTGACGCTTTCCAACACAGGGGAGGCACAGATGGTGATGAATAATCTAAACTAATACTCACACTACAAATGTAAAAGTTTGGAATCACTTATCATCACAAGTTGACATTACTTTACATTAGATAATGACTTATAAAATGTAGATTTGCATATTATGAACTAGTTACTAAGGGGTATTTTCAGATGTTTTACCAAGAAGTATTTTAGGAATAAGAAATACCTTCACTCTTGATGTTATAGAGATTTATCAGTCTACAGTTCTGTTCATCATTCTAGTCCAACACTAATAGTTTCCAACTATTCATTTAAAACCTGTTAAGACGCACGGAACCAGCATAGTCAGATCATTTAATGAATTTATCTTCAACCAAATGGGTTTTATTTTATTTGAAACACCGAATCCAAACTTTTGAATGTGTAACTACTTTCTATTCTCTAAAATAAGGTAGATAACATTAGCACTGTCTGCCTGCTGCTTCAAAAAGCAGCTAGAGATGATAAATTACAGCTACTAAATGCTTTACTGTTAACAGTAAACAGAGCAAATGAAAGAAAATGATCCAATACTTCACTAAAGTTTGGCTTCAGTATGGTTCTATGAGACACTCTTCCACTGGCTTCCACAAACACATTTATGCAGACTGCACTGTCTATCAGACGCAGCTCACGTTACATCAACTAACTGCACTGATACAGAGTGGATATTCCACATTGTGTAACAGCGATGAGTCTGAATGTTCAAACATTCGAACGTCATGAACAAAAATCAAACAGTAAATTAGATTTTAATATGCAAATGAGCTTGACTCTAATGTCAGAGAATGCGTAGCGAAGACAACTGCTACTCAGTAATGTGTTCTGGCTTTCAGACACTAGAGGGCGCTCCTTAACGAGCTCAGAATGAATGGGTTCCTATGGAGCTTTTGTGGAAAATCATAGTTTGTCAATGCTTAGTCATTATATACATATATAATGACTAAGCATTGACAAATTTCTCACTTTTAGCCGTTTAGCACCATTCACCCTATACATTGAGGACTTTCTCACAGACAGTGATGTTTTTGATGTAACAGAAGAAATAGAAAGTGGCCAGGCTCCCCTTAAACCTGCTCTGCTAATGTTATACATTCACCATGAGAGGCCTGAACTCCATACTCCACCAGAGGGAAGTGATGAGGCTGTATCTTATGTTATGGTCTCATTAGAAGTTACTAGGTTACCATCACCATCACTAATGTGGAATGTGTTACCTTTTTGAAAGGACTGAGCCAGTTAGCCATGTTGTAAGACAGAGTGAGTCTAAGTAGCATGAATGGTGTGATTCCATATGTGCCGTTTCATCACTCTGGTGTTTTCAATATTATTCTAAAATGTGCAAAATTGCATACATCTAGAGAAACCCTTATTTAAGTGTGTGTCCAAACCTTTGACTGCTACTCTGCAGTGGCACAGAGAGCAACCTGTGATAAGCGGCTAGAAAGCTAGTTAAGTCAACAAGCTAACAAAAATATTTAATTTCCCATTATTGTATATTAGTCTTCTGGTGGTGATTATGCTCAGCACTGACAATGAGGTGACTCACAGCCCAGACTGGTAGCCCAGAGGAGGAAAAGGAGGAGAGTGGGAGATGAAACAAGAAGCAAGTGTTTGTGTGTGTGTGTGTATCTGAGAGAGAGAGAGAGAGAGAGAGGGAGAGGGAGAGAGAGAGAGAGAGAGAGAGAGAGAGAGAGAGAGAGAGAGAGAGAAGTACAGTGAGAGTGTACTTACGGTTCCCTCAGCCAGTGCAGAGATGACGTTCCCCAGAGCAGAGAGAGATTTATTGATATTTTTAGCTTCATCCAGGACAGCTCCTTCTGCTCCAGTTTTGCTGACCTTAAAGGAGCAGGTGAGAAACAAATAGGAAAAAGGTATGAATGGTATCAACACAATAACGATTACCACTAATACAACATTTAACTGAACAGGCTAAAATGCAGACAACAATAGCAGTAATGAATTCCCATTTGAATTGCTTCATTACGATAATATACACCCATCAGCAGCTTTATTACAAACCCCCACCCTGTAGCTCAACCTTGCTGGTGTACAGTTAGAGACTGTAGCCCATCTGTTAATGCACAGATTGTATTAGTCATCTTCAGCAATGGTCAGTTTCAGACCACAGAGCCACTCCTGCCTGGCTGTTTTGGGGAGGTGGTCCACTCTCGAAATAGCAGTGACTCTGATGTATGTAAAAACTCCAGGAACACAGCTGTGTCTGATACACTCACACCAGCTCTATATACACTACCATGTCAGTATCACTCCTGTGCTGAGAATGGACCACCAACCAAGCAATATCTTGACAACAGCGTCCTGCAGTTAGAAATGGACCAATGAGAAATGGAGTAGAGAGCAGCTGACAAACTGTGCAGCAACAGATGAACTACAGTGTGTAAGTGTGGAGCTTATACAGTGGTCAGGCAGTGGAAGTTCAGGGCAGGGGTTTGTAATAAAGTGGAAAAAATGGAAAAAAAATTAAAAGTTACAGAAAAAATACGACTCCTAACAACCACCTGAAATACCTCATAGACCACTAAAACTGTCCTGAACAGATGAACAGCACTTAAAGAAAATAAATAAATGTTTAAATTATAAATTATGTACTGTAATAAACTATATACAATGCTCATCATTCTGAACATATCTGAACATATCTGAACTGATTACAGCTTCCTTCAAATGATTTGAAACCTGTAAAATTCTAGAGAATAGTGTTTTAATACAGCTATTTTACATACAGATCAGCAATAAAATGGTTTTATATTATTGGAAATGGTAATTCCAGACTTTTCAGTGCTAGTGTATAGCCTGCTCTTTATCATTTCTCAAGTTATATGTATCAATGTGTGTGTTTTATAAATAATATTTGACCAAAAAAGGCAAACTTAGCCAACAATTACTGAAAGTCAGTTTAATGCTAAATTACCTATTAGTGTTATTCTTTTATTAACAAAAAGAGTTCCTTTATCCTCTCTTCTATACTTCAGCTGCAAAGGTTCCACACAGCATGGCAAAGATAGGTGGAAGACAGAGAAAAAACTGAAATGAGACCTTCTCACTACCAGCCAGATCCACCAGGTAGAGCTTCCCACTCAGCTTCTTCTCCGTCTCCATGTTCTCCTGCTTGATGTTGATTAGGAAGATGCTGTGGCTGCGTGAGCTGTGCTCATTCATGTCTGAGAGGAAACATCGGCACAATGTTAAGGCAAGTACATGCAACACATAGTCATGGAAACACCAGAAGAGGTATGGCATGGTGTGACTAATGAGAAACTGAAGATACTGCAATCAGGACTTCAAATCAGTTCAAGGAACAAAAACAAAAACAAGAAGCAGTTTTTCTAGGAACAACAATGAAGCCAAAACAATCGCTCTTCAACTCTGAAATGTTTTTTTATCAGCATGTCTTGTGAACTTTGTCATTTTATGTGCTGCGCAGATTGTTAATGACTAAAGGAGGTAGTTATAGCTACACTCTTAAGAAATGGTGCTTCAAGTGTTCTTCAGTAAAGACAATGGTTCTATATGGAACCACAAACGCTCAAAGAACCATTTGTATGCTTAAATGGATCTTTGAATGGTAAAATCGCTCTTCAGACTGATGGAAAATGTGTTGTCTGTTTTATATAGCACTAAAAAAGGTTCTGCTATTGTTAAGATGCCAAGCTTCTAACAATAGAAGAATCATTTTTGGTGCTAAATAGAACCATCTCCAAAAAGGTTCTATAGTGAACCATATACAATACATTATCTATCAATGAAGAATGATTTCACCATGCAAAGAACTATCTAAGCATGCAAATGGCTGTTTGAGTGTTCAGGGTTCTATATAGAACAAGTCTTTACTAAAGAACTCTCGAAAAACCTTTTTAAGAGTGTACGTTATGGCGTCTCGAGCCTTTTTGACCTCTGCTGTCTTAACAACATCTCTAGCAACTTACTTATGTACAACCAGTAAAATTCCATTGCTTATGTATGTGTGAATATGTCCCTATCAATATAAACATTTCTGTCTGGTGTAATTTCCAAACATACTCTTCAAAAGACCCTTTTCACAATTTTCCGTAATGAATGCAGTGAAAGTCATCATAGTAGGGAAAACATTACAGCAGTGGCGGCGCTTATGGATGAAAATGTAGAGGACAAGCACATTTTTACATTCTTTTTTAAAGGTATTTACCAACTTTTTTCACAAAAGACGCTGTTCGTTTGGGGCAGTTTTCATTTTCAGAAAGGAGCAAGTTTCACAAGGTCTACATTAAAAGAAGCTACTGATGCTGCTGCTTCAACGCTGGGTGGGTGAGCGGTAAAGAAGGTCAACAGCTGACTGAGATCAGGAAAGAGAATGTGACATCATGTATAAATAAATTAAAAACTGGTGGTGTTACCTGATGTTATCTAAAGTTATGTCGATGAGCTAGTGAACTGTGTGGACTGCAGGGTCCTGTGTGGACTGCAGGGTCCTGGTAGGTTTCTGATGATATTCCACAGTAAACGTTAGTGTTAGTCTGAGGCTAAAGTTGGCTTTCTAATCGGCAGCTTCTTCAGATTTTTCATAATGACGTTTTCCCTACTACGTCAACTTACGCAGCCTCAAATAATGATGTGTGAAAAGAGTTTATTATAGCAGGCCTGCATACACGCAAGAATGAAAACATTAAAATATTGGTTCTGCTCAAGCTGAAATTTCTGTTACTCACTTGTGACAGCTACATGACGGTTGGTTTTGCCTTCATCAATAACGTCCATGACCTCCTCAGGGCTGGAAACAAATCGCTCTGTGCAGCCCTTGAACACAGAAACACACTGGTTATGCACACATACTGCCTTTCAGTACAATAACTAAAAATTAACTACACACTCAAAATAAAAACTCCCTTCAGCTCCCCTCTATACATTGTATATTTAAGTGTGATAATTGAGAACTGACAGTTACATCTGTCAGCAAAGCAGTGTTTTACTGAAACTATTTGAGCATAAAGTTAAAATAATATATATTATTATTTTATTTATTTATTACATTATTTTATTATGTGTACATCAGTTATGGGTTTTTTCAACCTCTTAAAATGGTATCAGCACGAGCCACCAAATTGTCATATCCACTGTGCCCTAATTTAAGTACACATGTGTAGAATTCTATGTGTAGAATTGTTTTTAACTTCAATTTCAATAAGGCAGAGTAAAACTGTCCACCTACCTTCACATACGGTACCCTGTTTTTGTCTTCATGAACAGCAAGGTTGGTCTTGGAAACTAAGGCGAGCAGAGGAGACAAGCTTAATGAGAGATTTTACATCTTGTCTAATCTGAAGGTACAAAGCTTCTTCTGCAAATTACAGTAAAAAAAATATTTGCAGCAATGGAAAAAGGTTCATCCTTACCGTCCAACAGGTCTCTGATTTTGTCCAAGTAAATCTCAAAATAGGAAACCTAAAGACAGACATAGCAAGAAGTTACTTCAAAACACAATTATATTACATTACACATATATTACATTATATTTTGAGTTTAAGTAGAAAACATTTGCCTTAGAGACATCTGTGTGGGCTTATGTATTCAATCTTTCACGTATATTTTCTAACTTCTCTTTATCCCTTAGAATTATACAGCCTTTTTTCTTACTGTGCCCCTATGGTTGATACAACCAAATGACCTCTGTCATGATTGGCAACCCTGTATTGTGCAAAAAGCAGTGCAGGCTGAAACACTCCTGATAACATCAGCATAAATGGGCGGAGCTAAACTGCTGTAGGCTGAATAGGTGGAAATATGTAAGATTAGGTTTTCATGAATGGGCTGTTCTGCTGCTTAATTTCCATATATGGACTCGGGAGTGACCGGTACATTTTTAAAAATAACAATTTGCATACAACGTCAAATATTTGCTTTTTGATATGCTCTCTTTGATGGTTTCTGTACAGTGGCTGCAGGCAGTATATGGGCAGTGATGTGGACGGTTATTGGAGGTGACCCAGGCATATGGCTCAGGTAGAACTCATATGGTCCCACCAGCATGTGGCTTTGTCTCTACATATGATCAGGCAACCCTACTGAAAATAGCCAGCACTGCCGGAATGCACATTTTTCATACATGCAGCTATATTGCAACTACAATGTTGACCTACATACACTAATGTAATGCACTGGGCAACACCAATACAAATGGGTTATAAAGAGATCAGGTGAATGAGATGGACCCTTCCTGGGTTTGTTCTTGCTTTTACCTTAATGTGGAACTCCAGGTTCTCGTCCATAGAGTAGATGTGGTCAAAGATGTCCTGAGCAATGCGGGGGATGATGCCCATAAGCTCATGGTCATGAAGTTTCCCCTAAATTAGAAGAGTTAGGAGAGAGACAGAAGAGATGTAAGACAATGTGTAATTATACATGTGGACCCATAAGCAGGTGGTCCAATGAGCGGAAGCAGAAGATAAGGGTTTCCAATAAAGTGGACGGTCAGTGTTCTTTCCTCTATATTTACTACATAATCAACATGAACTCCCAGTAATGCATTGTGTAGCAGTGTAATAACACATGCACATTCAGGAGAGGTCAAACAATAATAGCATATACGCTACCGACACTATGGAAACTGCATGCCTAAATTATCAGACACTTGCCTCAAACCATGTTAAAATGTTAAGTAAGCTCAATCAACTATCTTTTTTCTGCAGACTACTGCTTTAAATATTGTATAGATAACCATGTTAGTATGGATAAAACTATTTACAAGATCTGCCCAAAATAGGTCTATGCTTAGATATGGTTAACAGTGTGGCGATTCTTCTCTCTTCCAGTGCGATTACACTGTGAAAGCTTGTGCCTCTTATAGGACATGAAATATGTATTTGACCCCAGGAGGTTCATATTCTTCATCATATTGAGTACTAGAGAGAGAATGTGCATGTGATTATCTTTTCCAAATCTAATATCACAGTATAGCATGTCCTCTACTATCATGAGAATGCAATACAATGAAAACATCACCACCTCTTGCTGAAATAAAATAAATCCACTATATGAACTGGATTTTAGCACCTTAACCATAAGCTGATTGCCTGGACCTGTGTATCAAAGTTATCCCCATTTCTTCAAAGCCATTTGGCTTGGGACTCCACCCGTGATAACCGCAATTATTTGACTCTATATTCAGCTGGCTGAGAGAACTGGTCTGTTTCCAAGGAAACGGCTGCAGGCGATTGGCGGGCGACGAGCACGTATGGTGGCGTGTTGTGAGAGCCATGTCACAGTCACACCTCATCGTCATCTTAGTCTTGCCACTAAAGGCTGGAGAATCTTAGAAGAGTTAGTGATTCATTTTCACTATAAGACACTTGATAATCACAGATTATTTTCAATAAGACATTCCTGCCAAGCTTAGGAATTCTATATCATAGTCGTCTGGCTTTAGTGACTTTATTTGATCAAGCCTGGACTGGCTACATATTTGGTTTCATACTGATTGAAAAATGTTTACAAAGTTATATGTGGTTTAGACTGCTATATAATAAGCAACTTAGAGACTCTAATACTTCCTGTTTATTTAAGTCCTGCTTTGTAACACACAGAGCTGTGCAAAAGTTTTAGGCGGCCAAAAAAACATATTAAACATGTATCTCTGAAGCAGGTTTGTTTTTGCAAGTAAAACATTAAATAGCTTTAAAATAAATATAAATAAACATGAATATACAGTATTTCATACCAGATAACGAGATTTTTTATACATTACTGATATTTTGGTTAGAAGTTTAAAATAAGAACAGCAGGTTTGATTCTAGAATAACCAGAATGAACCTACTTAGAAAGAAAACAAGGATTTAGCTTCCCTGGAGCCTTAACAACAGCTCAGAAGACAAAACTCATTTTCAGGTAAAACCTGCTCTTCACACCAAGAAAGACACGTTGATTAACTTGAAGCTGAAAGCTGATGCTAAAACAATTAGTGCATAGCTGTTTCATTGCAAGAAAGTATTTGCAGGTATTAACAGAGATTTTATGGGGACCATATTTGATACACCTGGTTGGATTTTTGATTTACTTTCTCTAAAAATCCCAGGTTGGCCACTGAAAGCACACAGACTTTCAGCAATAGACATTCTTCTCCATCCGTAATCTCATTTCTGTTTTTCAACACTCTTATGGGAACAAACAGGTCACATCATTCAGTCTCATCTCTCCATGGACAGAGGATGAGACAAAACAATCTTGTATGCAGCTCAACTCAGAATCTAGGACTAGAGCACACTGTGGAGATTAACCTACTGCCCAATTTCATTCCAAAATCCACTTAGTATTTATAAACAACAAAGTATGTCATTGCAGTGATGCTAATCACTACTGATAACAATAAACAGTTCCCTTAGAATTACTGGCTCCCTTGGTAAACACAATGATAACCATTTAAGACTCAGTCATGCTTATTTTTATTATATTTTTAATTTTTCTGTACTATGTACAAGGTTTTTTCACACTTCAAACAGTATTTTAGAGTTGGAATGGGGTTTTGATATAATGGATTGTAGCACAGAACACTCCTAATTTTACGTCTGTTACCGATAATTATCGATTAATTGATAAATGGTCCCAGCTTTATATAAGTTTAGATTTCTCATATTTTCAGTATAAGATTGCCCTCCACCAAGCGTGCCAATAATTCTAGAGGATGCTGTTTGGCCTAGACAGCAGGTTTTGGTCATTTCTTAAGGTGCTGAAAATGACGTGCTTATACTCGTACCTCCATGGTGTGGGTCTTCCCTGATGAAGTCTGGCCGTAGGCAAAAATGGTTCCATTATATCCTTCGAGCACATCTGAGCAGCAGAAAACAACAGTGTGAGAGAAATGAAGCCATATTTAAGCTAAGTTACTACACCATATATGAGTTACACAGTGAGCATTAAAGAAATAGTTTTATGAAAAATCTAATTTACTCAATCTTTCCCTTAATCACAGACTCGCCAATTTGGTTTGTGACACTGTATGACATACTGATAGGGCTGAAAATCCATCCTACCCACCCAGAGAGAGCGAGGCCAATCATGCTCTCTTGGACTCCCGGCTACGGATGGCTGTAGCATCACCAGGGATCGAACTCGCGATCTCCTGATGATAGGGCCAACGCTTAGACAGTTGTTTAGCCCTATATAGTGATATTTAAAAAATGGGCACATTTGTACTGGCCACTCCTTATGTTTTTAGCTCTGTGTCATAAATATACTTTTGTCCATTTTTATAGATCACAGTATGTCGTACAGTGCTAGAAATCACATAAGCAAGTGTAGCTACATGTCATGTTTTCCTGTCCTGGTTCGCTCCACCTTTGTGTGGTTTGTTAACCATCATTCCCAGCTGTTTTATGTTTTATGACGTCTGGAGTAAAAATTTGTATTATTTACCAAACTATTGCTATAATATAGAAAAGAAATGCAGCAATTTATTGTCTTCATCTGATCTTACCTTTAACAATCTGTTTAGCACAGGAGTCGTAGACCAGCTCTTGGGTTGAATTGGGAGGAAGAACTCGATCAAACACATAAGGTTTACCCTGTGAAAGCCAATAGAGATACATTAGAGAAACTGAAAGAAGTCTGTCCTACAGAAACACAAAGGCATGTTTAGGCAGCCAGTGAAATTCTATTTTTCCACATGTTTAATATTTCTCATGTAAGCTTAAACAGGAAAATAAAATATCTGCGCAAATTCTAATTCTCACTATACAAATATATAGTGATGTACAGAAGAGAAACACCCTTTATTAATTTCAAAACGTCAATTAAGTAACTAAGTACAAGTTATTAATTTTCATCTTTTTTCTGTATCAGATGAAAAAACAACACATATTTAACAAAATATTAGTCCAGTATTTATAATATTACATTTTCAGCATTTAGTGTGTCCATGCTTCGACTTTATTGCAGCTTCCATTCTTTTTGGGACACTTGCTTTCAGTTTTCCCAAAGAAATCTGCACCCACACCTCCAAAGTTCAGTCTTAGAAGTTGGTTTGACTTGAAGCAGCTTGATTTTCTCCTCTCTCTCAAAGATGAGAGCTTTAAGGGCTGTTTATCTGATGAGGACAGTTTTGGTGGTCTACCAGGCCTTGCAAGTGCTTGTTAGGAGTCTCATTTTTTCTGAATCTTTTAAACATTTTTTAAATAATAATCTCGCAAAATCCCCTATGCAAGTGTATTTTTTTATATCTAATGTCAGAAATATCTGCTGAAAACTGAATAAACAAAGGGTGGTCTCAGGCTTTTGCACAATAGAAGCCAATGGGCAGTTACTTCATTAGTACAAAAACATCAAATATCAAATTTATTGCCAGTGCTAACTGACCATATGATACAGATCAAGAAGACTGTTTTAAGAGTGCAGAAGTGCAAATCATACTTAAAAAGTGCATTTAAAGGTAATAAATTAATCCTAATAAATAAACCTCTTTATCTTTATCTGTGTACCCTTGAATAAACAGCTACATGCAGACTCTACAACACCTTCATATATGGAGGTCCTAAGAGCATTAAAGGAGTGCACCATTTTAAAGGAAAAGACGAACGGCCTTGGGTTTAACCCACCCCCAACTGTCAATCAAACTTGATTACCCCCAGAGAGCACACTACCCCCCATTCTGTTCCTTTGTTTAGGGCAAACCATTGTGGTCATCACATATCTGAACTGGCCAAGCCACATCGACTCTTACAAACAAATGCAATGAAGAGTTTTGGTTAAAAAAACACGTCATGTAATCTCTGTATTGTGCCGTAGCATGACAACACATAACAACCACACACTTCAGATTCTTGTTGTGCATCTGTTGTTCACAATCAGTAAGCAACGTGCAATTTTATTTCTCTCATTTTATAGAAATCATTTTATTAAGACAAATAAGACAAGTGTGATTAATCACAATTAACAACAAAAAATAATCATAATAACAACTTTATTTACAGAACACTTTTCATACTGCTGACAGCTCAAAATGCTTTATAGACAGGTAAGGAAGGTTAACAGCAACAGAAGAAATTAAAGTTTTTTTTTTTACTGTTTTACTGTTCGGTAACAGCAGTCCAAGTAATTAGTGTCTTAAAAGTGTTTGACAGCCCTATTATAACATCATTTAATTCGAATAGTACAGAATAACAAAAGCAAAAACGCTCGTTCAAAGGGTTACCATCATTCATTCATTCATTCATTCATTCATCTATTCCGTCATCCATTCATTTAGACAGATGTCTCATTTAAGAGCACATTCTGTAGCAACTGGTGAAATCAAGCATGTGTGTGTTGTGTTTTGGTGTAGGTGCTTTTATTTCAGAGGCTAATTGTCCGGTGGTCTCTCGCTGCTGGTGCTCGTTCAGGGAAGTGGGCTTTTCTTTACTTTTTGCTTGATTAGGCCAGTGGGGGTCAAGCCACCCCGCTGGTGCGGCCACAAAAAAAGCACTCGCTGCTGCACAGAGCTCGTCGCCACGGAAACTAAAGCCTGGCAGCTCTGATTGGCTGAGAGACAAAGCCAGGTGTACCCTGGCAAACGGGGGGAAGATGGAAACATGACTGTCTGTTAGGAGAGACATCTGTCTTTAGGTGCAGCCTCTCTCTCTCTCTCTTTCTATCTCGCCCAGGCAACAGCAGGTGTATAAATCTCTTGCATAGGTATTTTACAAAGACATCAGTGTCATCAGAGTCACTAGAATGCAAGACATCCTACACTAAAGAGAGCTCTGCCGTGCAGATGCCAAAATCCTCTGTATTGGAACATTTTGAGGATCAGACGACGGCTTTTCTTTTTAAGTCCAAGACACCTTGCACCTCATGTTTTAAAGGGGTGGATTAGGCATTTAATTGAGAGGCAGGTAAACATGAACAATTGACAAACATGAAAATATACGAACAAAATAACAAAAGAAAATTGTTCATTCATCAGGCTCAACTAATAAAGCAAGCTTTTCTTCCATGTTCAACAAGAGACTAGAAAGAAGCCGTCTTCGATATTGATTAGTCAGCTGTGGATGACATATGGTGCTCAGCAAACAAGTAGGCAGTTTTTCAACCTAAACATTGTCTCTTCTGATGGTCTCTCATTTACCATTTTTGAGGAAATCAATGCCTGTAAAACAAGCATATATTTCCGGATTGTTCACAGCTCAGCTGCATCTCGCTATACTGCCATACTGCTACTGTACTGCCAATTTTATTTTGAAATAAAATCTGTATAGTACATAATTACATTTTGCAGCCTTTAAATACAGACAATACTGAAAATCAAACTGTTGGTGTCTGAAATCTGAATAACATTGCACCCAAAACCCTAGCACCTACACTCTTTTTAATCATATATATCTATTATCTAAGTACACACTGTAGGTTTACAACTGCTAACTATAGTCTATTTAGTGATGAAAAATTTATTAGACCCCCCCTCTACACCATTCATCAGTGGAAAGGGCTCACCAAAAGACCACTGCTGACCAGATGTTTGTGTATCAACCACAGCAGCAACTAGTTGGTAGACCATTTTTAACCTAGCAATGACACTGACATGCTGAAAATGGACGACCACCTTATTAACTATTGGCAGTGGTCATGGACAAGGTAGAGGGGGCTTGCAATTTGTGCAGCAACAAATGAGCTACAGTCAGTAATTGTAAACCTACAAAGTACACCCGCATGGCAGGTGTAGCAGATAAACTGACATCTCAGTGTATAACATGGTGAGATGTCGTGGCAGTTCACAATCACAGAGTGTCAGTTATACTGCAGAGATGAGAACCTGCACAAAATAACTAAACAGTGAACCACAGGAAAGAAGAGGGGGAGAAAAAGACGTGGCTCTTTCCAAAATGTACATACTGTACTGTGAAAAGAGACCACTCTTCACTTATTTAATCTCCAGTAAAAACAGACAGTAAGTACAAGTTATTCATTTTTCAGGGGATCTTTCTGAGGGGATCAAAAACAAAGTTGATCGATTTGCATAAGGAAGGAGAAAGTCAAAGTAAAATAAATGGCAAACAAATTTCAAAATGGTCATTCACAAAGTTATTTAAGCTACAGACAAAATGAGACACGTAACAACCACCTTCAAGACCTGGCAGACCACCAATAAACAGCACTTAACACTTTCATCTGAGAGAGAGGGGAAAATCAAGCTGCTTCAGATCTGAAAACATCCACAGGTGTTTCTGTCCATCCTTCCACTGTGAGAAGACAACTCAGCGCTATGGGTCTGAAAGGATGTGTAGCTGTTCAAGAAGCTCTTACTGAGAAAAGGAGACACATTAAACAAAAAACATGCTGCTGGTGTTCCCAGAATATGGGTGTGCAATATGACGATATTTTATTATCGTTGTGATAAATTATATTACAATATGTTTTTCTGAGCATATCATGGACAATGACAGTACTAAAAGAACACTAACTAACTACATATTTCATTACAAAGTGAGCGTAATTAGGTCTGTTTAATGGGATGTAGTGCAGCACAGTTTGTGAAACACTGAATAAAAATCATTGTAGTTATAGGTTTATTCTTGTTATATTATTATTATTTTTATTATGGCTTTTTTATATGTGGCACTGTGGCATAAGTTCTATCTTGTCTGTTCCAACTTATTAAACCTCAAAAATAATAATAATAATATCGTAATGCAGATCATGTATCTTGAAAATGTCTTGAAGTATATAATATTTTTTACCATATGGTCCAGACCTCAACATCACTGAATGTGTTTGGGATTATTTGGATGGTGAGAAGCCAAAAATGCTAAACCAACTTCTGAGACTGAACTTTGGAGGTGTGGCTGCAGATTTCTTTGAGAAACTGAAAGTGAGTCTCCTGAAAAGAATGGAAGCTGTAATAAGGGTAAAGAGTGGACACAGTAAATACTAAAACATCTGATATTATATTTTGTTGTTGAGGCTTCTGTGTAGATTTCTGTTAAATAAGTTTTTCTCTGACATTGAAATATGAATAACTTGTACTTTTTTTTTTTTGACTGGAAATTAAGCAAAAAAAGGGTGGTCTCTTGTGCACAGTACTGCACATAATGCATTATTAGAGATTAATATTTTATTTAACCAAGTGAAATCTTTACAGTGGTAATAGGCCTACTCTGTGAGCGTGATTCTTTACCAGTGTCTCAATTAGCACTCTCTGCTGTAGCATTAGCAGACAATAAGCTATAATGTTAACCCATAAAAGCCTGAGTGTTTCTCTGAGTTACCTAAAGTTAACAATCCAGCACTTACATTTAACAGAAAATGATGTATAATCTGCTATGATAATGTTAAACCGTCAAAAAACAATAGTCAAAATTTTTTTACTGAAAATATCTAAATAATAAAATGAATTTTATTTTAGTTAGTTTGCAGTTTAAGGTAAATAAACAATCTGTAATTTCCACTTGTGGCTTTTCTGTGGGTTTATAAATCAAATACTGCCACACATAACAGAGTTCTGTTGTGATTGGCTGTCATGTCTTGTATCTCATTCAGAAAACAAATCAGGCTGAAACACTCCTTATAACGTCAACTTGAATGGGCGGAGCTA